CAGCTGCAGCAGCCCTACCGTGTAGGCCAGCTTCTCAGAGCCCACCGACGGCGCTCCCACAGCCAGGTCAGGCACGCCATCCTTGTTGAAGTCCAACACGGCCAAGGCCGAGCCAAACCGACCTGAGGGCTGAAGCGGCATCAGTGACCCACCCGGGCTAAGCCACAGCCTCCAGAAAAGCCCGCGACTCCCTGGGAGTACAGGGACCCGGGCACCCAACCTGGACGCCGAGGGCCCAGGGACAAATCTGCGGCCACCGGAGCACGTCCACGCCCCGCCTGCTGGGTGTCTGCTTGGAGGAGACGAGGAGGGGCCAGAAAGAAAAGGGTCCGTTCTCACAAGTTCTGGGTTTTTCGAAAATGGTCCCACATGAAGGGCCAGGCTCCCTTGGAAAGTACCCAAAATAAGAACCCCATACACCAGCAACACTGGCTGCCATGTGACGAGCACTCGGAACGTTCGTCCCACGGGAGGGCACAGCGTGGACAGCACCTTACATGCACGGGGCGGGTACGTTCACTACCCCCCGTTCACGGCTTACGGATGGGAACCCCAGTCCATTCGGGGACCCTGCTCTTCCGCGCTGGATTCTCTCTTCCTGCTCTCCAGAACCAGCCTAGTCCACAAAGCCACTCCCCCGGCTCTCCTGCTCTTTCACAGCACAGGCGACAGTGAGCAGTCTTGCCAAGCGGAGGCTTGCCCCACACACATTCCCACGGCCCAGAACCCACATCAATCATGTATTGGCCAATCGGGCTGCACCTGGCGTGCAGTGGCCTCTGGAGAGGAACCCCCCTGCGAGGCGGGAACTTGAAGAACGAGAAAGGGTTGCTCTGAGCACCAAGCACGGAGGGGCAGCCAGGGAGTAAGGGCGCCAGGCGGCGGCAGCCAGCCTCGTTTGGTCGCCAGCTGCACGTCAAGCTCTCCCACGCGTCAACCCGGTGCTCCTCGACAAGCAGACTCTTCCAGCAGAGCCACGCCCAAGGCCGCTCATCCTCCTCCTCATTCTCCAGACAGGGACACAGACAGGCTAACTGCAGGCCTAGGCTACACCCACGCCTTCAGCGGCCGTAACACGGCACTGCCTCCTTCCTTGTCCCACAGGTCTGAGAGCGTGCATCCCCCTCCACAGGCAGAGCCCGGCCGGCAGGAGCCCCAACGCTCTGACACGGCACGGCTTTGTGAGGAAGCAAGGAGCAGAGACGCCTGGGTGGCTCAGTCGTTAGCGGCTGCCTTCAGCTCAGGTCATGATCCCGGGGTCCTGGGATTGAGCCCCGCATCGGGCTCCCTGCTTCTCCCTGTCTGCTGCTCCCCCTGCTTGTGTGCATGCTATCTGGCAAATATCTTAAAAAAAAAAAAAAAACAACAGGAATGGGTAAACTTATTTTGGAACGTTCTCATGTGGTAGCAGAAGGTTCCAGAAAATGCTGTCCATCTGGGACTGTGAAACCTCACACACTGGCCAGCCAACGGAGGATCACCTCTCCAATGCAGGTCTCCTTCTGTCCGGTCGTTAACCCCATACCCTTCATGTGTAAAGTATGTCCAGGCATGTCATCTTGTTTTGTCCTCACAGCATTAATTCCACAGCAAAAGCAGTTTCCCCAGGACAAAACCACAGTCTGATGTCAAGTCCAGCGTCCCTTGCCCTGCTGCTTCCTGCTGGGAGCGCGCAGTCCCACCAAAGCCCCCGAGCTCACCTGTGACCAGTCACAAGGCTGCCTGTCCCCCCTTCCTGCTCCTGTTAAGGACTAATGCCAGTCGAGTTCTCTGCTGTCCCGAGACCGAGCGACACTGACTCCATGTGGAGCCTTTCTCCTACAGTCACCGTGGGGCTTTTCTGGGGATGCATCACCACTTAAAATCAAGGAATGAAATCTGAGCAAAGTCTGGAATTTAGGAAAGAGTCACGTACCAGAGTTGGTTTCTTATGTTTGATACGTTGACACCATAGTTACGTAAGACGCTACCTTAGGGGAAACCGGGTACAGGGTGTTTGGGACCTCTGCACTGTCTTTACAGCTTTTCTGTGAATCTAACATTCTTACAAAATAAAAATTCATATATAAAAAGAGGGAGACTTAAAAAATTCGGGGGGGGGTGCTTGTAATCTCAAGAAATCACATCCTGACTGGCGACTCAGAGCAGCTCTGAATAAACAGCAGCTGTGTTTCGGGCGGGTACTGGGCCAACAGGCTTTTAAAAATGGTAAGTGTTCCATAGACAGAGGCCACCAGCCATTTCCTGGCTATTTGCTCTGGGGAACCTGCCACGAGAGACGGGCAGTGGCTTATGGACACGAGAAGGGAAAGTCGGAGCCGGACGCCCCACCTGGAAACCCTCCAGGGTCACGTGGGCCTCCTTGTCGAGATCCAGGTCGAGGGGGGGCAGGCCCAGCTCGCTGCCATACACGAGGTACACGCGCCCAACCTGGCTGTGGCCGGGGTGGCTGTAGCCTGGGGCGCCTACCACCAGGTCCCCGAGCCCGTCCTGGTTGAGGTCAGCCGAGGTCATTGCCCTGTGGGGAAGAAGAGAGAACACCCCGTCCAGTGTCTATGGAGAGCCACGGGTGAGACGGTCGCCTGCTTCTCTCTACAGAACTCCCTCTTGCTGCTTTTTTCACCCTGCGTGACTGTGGAGAATATCCACTTCTGAGGTTATATGGTTTGTGAGATCTGGTCTTGCTCTCCAAGAAACACAACAATAACACTGGACACATTAAGGCCTCTGGGCATTTCTGAACCTTATGACCCGAGCAGGTGAAAAGCATCTTCACAAAGCATCACATTCCGTGTGCAAACCCAGAGCCGCGAAGCGTGATCCTGGGCTCGCCAGGAACACAGGAAATCTGCATCCGGCCGACGGCACCGGGAGCTTTCCGACAGACCAGGTAACAAACGGAAAGGATGGAGCCTGAGACCAACGTGTGTTAAGTACACCGTGTTGTTTCTACCATAGCTGCAGAGGGTACCTTGTACCGTGAAGAAATCACATGTGCAACGTATTTAGTGGATGTTTCCAAACAAGGGTCTATGACCCACCGGTTATAGATCAAAGGTCCAAATGTCTTTGTTGGGGCAGCTAGAAAGACCAGAAATCACGTTATTTATTGTAGTTCTCATGGCCATGTAAGGACTCCATGGCAGCACAGAAGGAAAAAGAGAAAAAAAGTTGTCTCTAAAGGGGCTGCCGCCCGGTGAGACAAACCAAACACACTGACCATGGACACACTGCTGTCCCCTGGCTCCCTGGGCTGGAAGCTAGGGAGGGACCTCTGCACCACCCCCCATCCCCCCGTGGCAGCAAGCCCAGCAGGGGACCACCTTTGGCTGCATCAGGAAGGCAGCCAGGAAGAGCCATCATGCACAGGGGACCAGCCAATAAACAGCATTCACCTCCTGTCGCCCGAGCTGGGGCTGAAAGCATCAGGGGCCCCCAAAAAGAAGGGCTGTCAGCAAATCGTTCCAAGGGAAAGTGTCATCTGGATCTGAGAAGTGTGGTTGAAAAAAGAGGTTTCCCCCAAACCGCCATATACTTGGGCTTGGTTTGGGTTGATCATGAAACTCAAGAGGAACCCCCAACGTTCTGAGTATACAATTATTGTGGTGTGCTCGGCTTCTGTCCTATGAAGCGATGATATCCCCATCACTGTAATAGCTGTTTATCCACTCCTAACGTCGTGAGATTCCCAGAAGGACATCGAAGCTTGGCCATTGTTCTACAACACTTCATCATGGTAATTATTCAGTAAAGTGAAAGCTCCCTGTGTTTAAACACATTCTGACCCATTTTAAGGAGACAGTTTCATCTTTACAGTAACCTGACCACTATATTAATGTTTTTGTTGATGATGAACTAATTGGAATATAAGGTGCTAACAGGTGCCACCAAAACCATCTGTTGGAATGACTGAACTTCATACTGGGGACAGCTTTCGGGAGTAGGAGAAACACACCTACCAGCCGAGTCTCGTGTAGGGAACAGACAGGGAGTAAGATGCCAGGGGGCTGGAGACATGTTTCCATGACTGCTGGGAGCTGCCTGTGAACATTGTCCGTATGTTCCTTTCCAAAGTCTGGTACAGAAAAGTAAGGGAGTCCTGGAAACACAAAATCATTACAGATAAGGACATGTGGCATAATCAATGAAAACTATTATTTCTCATCAAAAGTATTAGACTTTCTAAAGGAAACCCATTTTGACAGTGCTAAAAAAATAAAGCATCAATTCCTATCAGTAAGATCCCTTGGGATGAGCAATTAGGGAGGGAAATCACGACCCCTGTATGCAGGGAGGGAGGGCAGGTGCGGCCCTAGCGTTCAGGTCCGGATGGCAACAAAGAGTTAGCTGGGCCTTCACCTGAACCAAAGTCAGGAGAGTCCCTACGAACCCATAGAACATAACAAAATCAATTTAATGGATTAAAACGGCTTAAACGTTCAATCTAGAACTAGGACTGTGTGTGTGTGTGTGTGTGTGTTTTTTTCCCCCACTCGGACTGCACCACCACCAGGCTGCTGAAAATACCCTCCAAACCACAGCCAAATGGAGGAGCTGCTGTGTTTGCTTAGGCACCAGAGGTCATCTGCCAAGCGCCGGAAGCAAGCCAAGCACGGGGACATCAAGCCGCTCAGCATGGGATCTGAGGTGTTCTGAACGTGGTTGTGCACAGACTTGAGTGGCCCCGAATAATCCCGCCCCATGCAGGACCCATCCACAGCCAGGGGATACAACTCTGAATCCACCCAAGGGCGAAGGAGACCCCACCAGGGCTCTGAGGCCTGGCCTGGACGGGAGCACAGTGGGCAGAGCCGGCCGGGGCGGGGGGGTGCCCTGCAGGACGGGGCTGTGCCTCCTGGTTCCGCACGCTAGCGTTCCCCCGTTGGCTTCCCCCAGACGCTCACCCTCATGCCCCCTGCGCCTTGCCCGCTCTTCCAGGAAGCACTTACTCAGCTTCTGTGTGCCAGGCACCAGGACGGGCCTTGGCAACAGAAAGTCCCTCTCCCACGGGACCACCCTTCCACAGAGGAGACCAATCTGAGTAACTACAGGACAACACGGTAAGTGCTGTGGTGGGGGGCCTAGGTCATGGTGGGCTACAGAATTCACGGAGCCCAGTGCAAAATGAAAATGCAGAGCCCCTGGTTCAAAAAAGTTTTAAGAATTCTAAAGATTTTATTTATTTGAGAGAGTGAGTGTGAGCGGGGTGGGGAAGGGAGGGAGGGAGAAAGGGTCTGAAGCAGACTGCGCTGAGCGTGGTGCTCCATGTGGGGCTTGATCCCACGACTGTGAGACCACGACCTGAGCCCAAACCAAGAGTCAAGACGCCCAACTGACTGAGCCACTCAGGTGACCCTAAGTTATTAGGAGTTTTAAGACAGCAAGAGCACTAACCCAAGTGTAGGGCCCTTCTCAGGGTGACTGCAGGCCCCCCCATGTGATAGCACACCCGAGAAGCAGGCCTGCCCGGGCCGGGCCCAACTCCCAGGGGCACCAGCTAGATGGTGTCCTCTGAACCCTCCAGACGTTAAGAGCCCTTCACAATCCAATGCCTGCTTCCCTTCCCAAACCCCTCCTAGTGCCTTGTATCCCTGTCTTGTTTTCCAAGCAAACGAGTCTACTCGTATTTCCAAATATCCCCAAACTTTCCCAAGAGATACATGCTCACTGATGAAATGCTATCTACTATTCAAGGCCTAATGCAAATGCCGCCTCTGCCGTGAAGCTGTCTCTGATTGACAGCGAAGATGCAAGCTTATCTTATAGGCAAAGTATTCCCCACCTACATGTTATTTGCATTCTATTTGCATATGATTATTTGTGTATTTATCACCCCAATTAGACAAATTTTCTAAAGGTCAGAGTCCATTTCCCTTTCATCTTAAACCCCCAGTTGAACATCTGACACTTAAAAGGTGATCTCACGGACGGATTTCATATGCATCATCCCCCTGCATGGGGCTCTGCACGGTGAGCCTGCCATTTTGCTGACACGGTTTGCCTAAGGGCAAAGCAGGCCTGGCCCAGGTGCCCAGGGCCACCTCGGGCTCCACTGGACTGGCCCAAGGCCACAGAGGTCCACACCCACATCTCAGAACATCTCTGGAAAAAAACAGATTTGGAGGCCAAGGATATTTGTGGCCTGGCTCATGCGCAGGTGACTCTCAGTGAATGACTGAAGGGCCAGTGAGTCTATAAGCACAAGATCATGGGGGCAGCATGTCCCTCCTTCCCCCACCGGAAGCAGAAAACTCTTACCGAGGTCCAGGAATCCACGCTGAAGAGCACACCTCTTTTAGTATAGTTTATATTTTTCGTAACATCTTTGGTTAGGGATGCAGTCAGATTCCTATGGAAATCATTTTTCTGCACTCTGGAGCTGTTGAAAAGGGACAACAAAATGGGTCAGACTGAGGGAGCAACAGGCCCCTGAATGAAGGAACTGAAGAATACATCAAGTCGATCGCTGGTGAGAGAACGTAAGATTCGAGTATCTGGAAGTTGAAGAAACACCTTTCATGTGACATCCCACGGAATTTTAATGAACATGTTTCCAAGGTGTAAAAGCCTGTCCTTATCAAAAATGCTTCCCAGAGCCTCAAAGTCCTATAGCATGGAAGTTGTGAATTTCTTCTAGATTACTAAAAAAAAAAAAAAGAGTTTCAGTATTCCACACAAATAGTCAAGAAATAATGTAGCTATTTGGGAAGCCGGCATGCAGGCGTACGGATATATCTTTGAAGACCTGCTAGAATGAATCCAACAATAAAAGCACGTTTTCAAATTCATGCATTCTAACGAGACTACAAATCAGGTGCCTAGAGGAGACGGACAGGCTTCCCAAGTGACTGAAGTGAAGCCCACACAATGGGAGTGAGCAAAGGGGCGCGTGTGAAACAGCCCAGCGTGGGGACCCTGACAGTCTAGAGACTGCAAGCCCGACCTAAAGGCACTCAAGTCAGTCACCAAAAAGGAAGGGAGGAGGGAGGGAGGGAGCAAAGAAAAGAAAGGAAGGAAAGGAAAGAAAGAAAAGACTGGCCTAATTTAATAAATCCAACCATGAGGGCTTAACTGAACCTGCCTGTCTTCTGTTCTTCTGAAGCTCTCTGCTCTCTGACCTTAGGACCCTTCACTGCTATGTCCTGTTTGAGCGTCTAACCCTCGCTCACTCTGAAGTGTCTCGGTTGAAACACTTCTTCACCGAGAGCTCCCCTGGGATGGGGTTGGGATGCTCTGTGATACATCCTCTTCCCTCCTACACTTGAGAGCATGTATGAGTTCTGGCCAGCGCCCATGCACCTGCCAGGACGCACGCCCTAATACAGCAGGAACGCCTTCTGCCCTGCTCACGAGGCCTCAGTGCCTAAACCAGCTCCTGGCAGCAGACAGGAGGAAATATTGCCTTATTGATATTTGTAGTATTAATACAGTTTTAAGCACATGCAGTTGGCACACGACCCCAGCAGGAGTACCACCCTCTGGCCCCCTTCCTCAGAAACTACCTAGAAGTCTCCTCACCCTGTCTCATCAATGACGACTTTCTCAGGGTGAAATATGGATAAAGGTTATGCATAATAACAGTAATATTACTATTTACCTGCCATTTTTATTGTTTAGCGAGCAACTTCCTGATGTGTTGTTTACCTCCATTCCTGCATGCTATCCAGGCCATGATTTTGGGAATATGCACTTTTTTTTTCTTTTTTAAGGATTTTATTTATTCCCTGAGCAGGGAGCCTGATGTGGGGCTCGACCCCAGGACCCTAAGATCATGACCTGAGCCGAGGGCAGACGCTTCACTGACTGAGCCACCCAGGGGCCCCTGCACATGTTTTTTCTATTTTGCCAAAGGAGGAAGCTGTACCTCAAAAAAAAATTAGCGACTTGTTCAAAATCACATGGCTGTAAACGGCAGACCTGGAATTTGAACCTCTGTGTGTCTACAAATCCTGTGCCTTCAATGTCTGTTGAGCATCCTTCCGGGGAAGATGTTCTTTTTATTTTTTTTTAAGGTTTTATTTATGAGAGAGAGGAGGGAGGAGCAGAGGGAGAGGGAGCAGCAAGACTCTGCACTGAGCGCAGAGCCCAACACAGGGCTCGATCGCAGGACCCTGAGATCACGACCTGAGCCGAAACCAAGAGTCAGTCGCTTAACCAACTGAGCAACCCAGGCGCCCCAAGATGTTCTGTTTCTAGGAACAGTTTTGGAATCCACTTACCCCTGGGTGCTGGCTCGTTGACCGCCGCATGCAATGAACAGAGGGTTCTCAGGCAGGTTGCAGTCACTGGAAAGAGATGAATCAGGCATTTTTCTACCTCCTTCGCAAGCGTGAGTTTTACTGAGAATCGGTGGTGCACTTCAAGCCGCCTCCAGCAGCCTAATGCGGGGGGGCTCATTGCCGAGCCAGACGTGATGGGCGAAGAACCTTGGTCCTACCTGATGAGGGTGGACGAGCTGACTGCTGGTAGCAGGACGGTAACATAGGCAGCCCCACGCTCCGGTCAGCCCCGACTCACAGCCATCCTCCCATCCTCTTCCTCACCCTCTTCCTCACCCACCCCCACCCCCCGACTCCACTTGCTGAGCGGTCCCCACACTAACATGAACCATCTGGGAGTTCAAGATGGAAAGAAACAGTTTCCCAACTGTGCCCCTCTCTGCCCGATCATGCCCATTTTTTTTTAAGATTTTTATTTATTTATTAGAGAGAGAGCACAAGCGGGGAGGAGGGGCAGAGGGAGAGGGAGAAGCAGACTCCCTCCTGAGCAAGGAGCCCGATGTGGGACTTGATCCCGGGACTCCAGGATCATGACCTGAGCCGAGGGCAGACACTTCACCGACTGAGCCACCCAGGTGCCCCTATGAATAATCTTTGAATTAAGTAGCGCTCTGGCTGGGAATGTACCATTCTTTCACTGTTTCTTTAGGAAGATACGGTACTAGAGTTTTATCAGTTAGCTAAGAAATGCTTATAATATGAAAACAAGTACATTGTTTCTTTCACTCATGAATTTGTCTTCTCTTTGGAGCCCCAAAGTTCTCATAAAGTTCCACAAATTCTGATGAATCTTCCTTTGTGTGTGTGTGTTGTGTGTAAAGATGCAGTCAATTCATGGAATTTGCCTTGACAAATTAGAAGAGAGATCAAGAGACAATCTGTTTCTTCACAAACAGCTCTCCTAATTAAAGAATAAAGTCTAGCTGTCTGTAGCTATTTGGACAACCTAACCAAAACAAACACCAAAGCTGCTCTCCACTTGAGGATCATGACACATGGACTTTATAAAAACAAATAAATGCAGGTCATTCACACTCATATGACCAATATAAATTTAACTTCCTTCCAATAATAATTATAATACTAGTAGCCAACATGTATTAAGTGCTCCCTAATGCTAAACCATTTGCATGAGTGACCTCACGTCATCCTCCCAAAAACCCATGGCAAAAATAGAATTATTACTGTCCCCATTTCACAGATGAGAAAGATTAGGGAGGTTTAGCTACTTGCTTGGGGTAACTCAGCAGTGAGAGGCAGGTCTTGCCAATTTCAAAGCCCATCCGCTATCTTTGTGTGCACCTAAAAACCCACAGCCACAGAAGGAGAGCCTGGGGATTTCCCAGGAGGCTTATTTCACTATTAAAAAATAGTATTTATATTGGATTGTTTACTGTTTACCAACTGTTTAAAACAGGTTTTAATATTTACAGCCTAGTATTGACTTTATCATGCAAGGGAATTTTGTTTCAAAGCATAATATATAATTACGGTTACCATTCTTTGACTACTAGCAAAGGTTTTTAAGGGCACAGAAGAGTATCATCCAGTACGTAACATCCCGAAGCTACACGGATTTAGGTCCCTCCAATTTAGCCCAGCCCTATGCTCCTCCACCTGGAAGAGCCGCCTGGGGCAGACCCAGCCCTCGAACCCCGTCTCCCACTCCACGGCTGCTGCTTGAGCTCCGCGCCCTGCCAGCACGGGGTGGTGCCTCCACTGCTCCCTCTCCAGACCCCCACCCACCCCACCCAGGTCGGCAGCCGCAGATGGCCGCAGACTCTGTGGCCTGCTTGCGAACTGGCTCGGAGGGGAGCCCTGGCCATCTCACGCAGCCGGCAGACTCTGCGAGCCTATGGGCCACTGCGGCTGGGATTTGGGCGGCCCGTCTACCCTGCTCTACACACCCTGGGCTAAGTCTCTGGCTAACACTCCTCCCGGACATGCACAGCAGGAGTGGGGCAGGAGCGGAGAAGGAGCTGGGCCCCAGATGCTGTTCCATACGGGCTGAGTGTCAGACTCCACCAGAAGGCTGTGATTTACAAATGCATCCATTTCTGATTTTACTTTGGAGTGGGGGTGGGGGGTGTTCAGTGAAGCGCTCTTTGAAACCCTTTATCCCTGAGATGACAGCAGGTGGAAAGGAGGCTCGCTGAACCGTGGCCGCTGGAGCCTGGGCACAGCCTGGGTCCTCCCGGAAGAGAAGACACAGCCCAGAGGTGGAGGGGGGCCCTCCCACCGAGCACGGTTCTTCAGGATCTCTCTGTCCCTGAAACAGGGAACAGCGGCACGTGTAATCAGACGGGAGCGCGTCTGAGTTTTGAGACCGGAGTTTCCATTCTTTTCCTCCTTGGTTAGGAGAGGCTGGCACTTCGTGAGACCTTTTCATCTGATCAAGTGAAAACCTGGGAGCGGCACCAGAAGAGGGAGGGACAGGGCAGGAGTGACTGGTAGAAGAAGTGGGGCAGGGTCTCACCTGGTCCCGTTCTCTAACATGAAGCTCGTCAGACGGTAAATATTAGTGGACCAAAAAGCCATGTCATCCAGTCCCCCCAGGAAATATTCTTGGAATTGTTCCACCAAAAATGGAGACTTTCTGGAGTAAGTGGAATAAAGCTATGGCACAGAAAAAGAAAACTAAGTAAGTTTTTTTTCCTGGTAACTTTATAATCCTTTAAATGAAGATTTTGAAGAATGAAGCCTTTACCTTGGAAATAGCTAACATCTCACCATACCTGCAACATGAACAAAAATTTTGCCTGTTGAGTTGTGTTTGTACAAAGAAGTGAAGCAAATAAAAACCAAGCTCCATCTACATGTATCTACCATGATGCAACTGCCTTTGAAAAAAGCAAAAATCCAGAAATCCAAAATCCAACTCGGAGACTTAAAATGTCAGCAAGTGCACTAAGAAGTCACACACTCAAATCAACCACAAAGTTTCCTCTGGGTCACACCTACATTTCCAAGAACTGAAGGTATGAACAGTCAACAATTGCATTTTTGGTGATGACTTCTCGGCCATAGAGTTTCTTATAAATCTCCAGCAGATCTTCAATGGGCACATACCTGAGAAAAGCAATGGAATAAAATAAGATTCTGAACTTGAAGATAATATCAGCAGCAAAAGCAGCGACCATTTACTCCATGATTATTACGTGCCAGGCATTATGCAAAGTGCTTTCCATGAACTATTTATTTAATCCTACCTAAAAGCCTAGGTGGTTGGTACTACTACATTCCCACCGGACCTAAGAGGACACTAAAGCACAGAAAACAGAATTAATTTCCCCAAAGATGCAGAGCAAACAACTGATAGCTTAATCCGGTATTTATGAAGGTACATTCAAAGACAGGAAACTAACTCTTAAGGTATAAAAAGGATGTTTAGTCTTGTGAATTCACAGTTCAAGGAGCAATATATTTTAATTCTTTGGAGCACTGAATTTTTCTCCAAAGTTATTATTAATTTTTGAGAGAGAGAGAGAGCAGGGAGGGGAGGGGGAGAGGGAGAAAAAGAATCTCAAGCTGGCTACATGCCCAGAGTGGAACCCAACGCAGGGCTCGATCTCACGACCCTGAGATCAGGACCTGAGCTGAAATCAAGAGTCAGATGCTTAACCGACTGAGCCACCCAAGTGCCCCCAAAGTTATTATTTTTAAAACACCAAAAATAGCTCCTCTACTTAGAGTAAACAGTATAAGATGGTAAAAAGAATTCTAAATCAGGCTTTTGGTTGACAGCTCCTCATTGTTTCAGTTGGAAGAAGAGTAGCACACATGAGATTAATGCTAAATCATCTTCTGTCTTCATTTCTGAAGCCTTAGACTATACTGGACAGAAACCACAACCAAGCAAAACCCGATTTTAGTGTATTTATAAGAAAGAATCTATGGATATATCCACTTTTTAATTTACAAGAGCACCAGAGTTGTCCTCCCAACAGAAATAGCTTCAGGCTAGACACAATAACAAAAATATTTTTTTAGATGAATCACCATGCTAGCAAGAAGGTTTTCTTTTCCAAAAGCCCAAAACAAATTGAAACTGGAAACTTGAAGAGGTAAGCAAATGTGGAAGCCAAGCTTTGCCCCAAGCCCTTGGAGATTTTCCGATGGCTGCCTTGTATGCCGAAGATGTGGGCTGAAGCGTAGGAACCAGCCAAAGCAGCCCATCTCAGAAGAGACTCTGCATTGAAAGCTACACCCTCGGCAGGAGTATCAGCTAGAGACAAACCCAACCTATTAAAAAGGACATCTTGACAATGCACAGAGAAGGGGAGAAACAGATCTCCCCCTAAAACTCGTTAACTACTACCAGTCCCACAAATGTTCTGTCCTGCATTCATGCCATCGCTGTAATCAGGAAAACCTCAAGGGCTGAATGTAACTCAATGTGGTCCTAGGTTAACATGCCTCGAGGCAGCCTGCAGAAGTCCAGACAAACCCTCGCTGGAGAAATGCAACTCTACGGCCATGAGTAATTCAAGCACCATGGGACATAACCAAGAGAACCAGCGTAACTATAGTTAGAGCTGCTAAAGTTGACTTGAAGGCAATAAGCATTCATTAGAGATGAGGAGAGTCACTATGTCATGATGAGAAGGTTCAACTCACCAGAAACACATGAGATTTTTACACTTGAATGTACCTAACAACGTATCTTCAAAACATATATATACACACACACATACACATACACACACATACACATACATACACACATACATACACACACATACACACACATATATATACACACATATACACATACATATATCTATATCTATATCTATATATCAAGTTGACAGAACCTCAAGGAGAAATGGGAAAAAAAAAATCCACTATCGCTGGGGGAAGTTTTTTAACAAATTTTTCTCTCAGTAATTATTAGATCAACCTAATATAAAATAAAAAGGCTATTTATAATTTTAATAGTAAATTTAATGAGCTTACACTAGTAAGCATATATGTAACATTAGGTCAAAAATTGGAGAACATTCTCTTCAAGCACAGATGGGATATTTACAAGAGTTGATTAATGCTAGAACTTAAATTGAGACTCAGTGGGAGACTCCTGACAAAGATGAAAGATGACAAAGCAGGAGGACCCTAGATCGATCCCATCTCACTGAGCCAATGCTCACATCAGTGCAACAACCCAGAAAACAACCCAAAGACTGGCAGAAGAGTGGTGCCTGGCTGGCTCAGTCAGAAGATCGAGTAACTCTTGATCTCAGGTTTGTGGGTTCCAGCCCCATATTGAGGATTACTAAAACGAAAATAATTAAAAAAAAAAAAAAGACTGGCAGAAGAGACTCCACAACTAAATGTAGAGAAGAGACCAGCTCAAGCAGAGTAGAAAAGGCAGAGACATGGTGGGGCTGCTAAACCCCATGGGTCTGGCTACCAGAAGGAGGGAGCCATGAGTTTCAGGGAGGGGTGAGAAGCAGATTATCACACTGGGGAGCCTGCAAGGGGGAGCTACATCCCCACAGCATTTAGCTTTGAAAATGAGAGGGGCCAAATGTTCTGAGTTCTAGCCAGTGGGACTTAAAGCCTAGAATTTAAAAAAATCAGTGGGCTTGGCTCTGGAAGAGCCCAGAGAGTAACAGGAAGCTCCGTCTCTGCCCTTAAAGAGATAGCACGACAGGGCACCTGGGTGGGTCAGTGGGTTAAGCATCTGCCTTCAGCGCAGGTCATGATCCCAGGGTCCTAGGATCAAACCCCTCATCAGGCTCCCTGCTCAGTGGGAAGCCTGTTTCTCCTTCTGCCTCTGCTGCTTCGCCGGCTTGTGTGCATGCTCTCTAACAAATAAAATCTTGGAAAAAAAAAAAAAAAACAGGACAAAAATCACAGAAAGAGACCTAAGCAAAGTAAGTAATATGACTGATAGGGAATTTTTATTTTTTTTAAAGATTTTATTTATTCATTTGAGAGAGAGCACAAGAGAGGGGCCGAGGAAGAGGGAGAAGCAGAGTCCGATCCCAGGACCTCTGGAGCATGACCAGAGCTGAAGGCAGATGCTCAACCAACTGAGCCACCCAGGTGCCCCGTGATAGGGAATTTAAAGTAATGATCATAAAGATATTCCCTGGACTTAAGAAAAGACTGGAGGCCATCAGTGAGATCCTTAACACAGAGATTAAAAAAAAAAAATCAAATGAAGAACACAATAATTGAAATAAGAAATACACTTGATAGAATAAATAGGCTAGAGGAAGCAGAAGAACAAATGATCTGGAAGACAGAGTAATGGAAGTAATCAAGCTGAGCAGGTGAGAGAAAAAATTATGCAAAACAAGAATGGACTTAGGGAACTCAGTGGCTCCATCAAACATGATGGCATTCTCATTATAGGGATCCCAGTAGGAGAGAGAGAAGGGGGGGTGGCAGAAAATTTATTTGAAGAAATAATAGCTGAAAACTTCCCTAATGTGAGGAAGGAAACAGATACTGAAATGCAGGAGGCACAGAGATACCCCCCCAAAACTCAAGAAGGTCCACACCAAGACACATAATAATTAAAATGGCAAAAAGTCATGATAAATAAACAATTTTAAAAGCAGCAAAAGACAGTTACATACCATACCCTGTAAGGCTATCAACTAATTTTTCTACAGAATCTGAAAGCAAGAAGGGAGTAGCATGATATATTCAAAGTGCTGAATGGGAAAAATCTGCAGTGAAGAATGCTCTATCCAGCCTTTAGAAGGAGAGATAAACAGTTTCCAGACAAACAAAAACTAAAGGAGTTCATGACCACTAAACCAGCCTTACAAGAAATGTTAAAGGGGACTCTGTGAGTGGAAAGGAGAGACCGTTAAGTGAAGAGTATGAAAAGTAGAAAACACAGAAACAGTAAAAAAAGTACATCTGTAAAAATAAGTCAAGGGATTCACCAAAATAAGAGGATGTAAATTGTGCCACCAGATCCCTAAAATGTGTGTGTGTGGGGGGGGGAGTAAAGAATGGGTTCAAGTTAAACAACCATCAGCTTAAAACAGACTATGTGCAGAAGATGTTATATACAAACCTGTGTATGTAATGGTAACCACAAGTCAAAAACCACTAATAGATAATAAAAAAAACAAAGAGAAAGGAATCTAAGTCTATCACTACAAAAAGCCAACTAATCATGAGAGAAAAGAGCAAGAGAAGGATCAGAAAAAAAAAAAAACCTAAAGAAAGCACCACAAAATAAGTAACAAAATGGACTAAAAAACATACCTATTAATAATTACCATGAATGTAAATGGACTAAATGCTGCAATCAAAAGACATAGGGTGACAGAATGGATTAAAAAAAAAAACACAAGACTCATCTATATGTTGCTTACCAGAGACTCATCTCAGACTGAAAGACACCTGCAGACTGAGAGTGAGAGGATGGAGAAGCACTTATCATGCACATGAACATCAAAAGAAAGCTAGGGTAGCAATACTTATATTGGACAAAACAGACTTTAAAACAAACACTATAAAAAAAATAAATAAAACACTGTAACAAGAGACAAATAAAGGCACAATGTAATAAAAAAGGTGACAATCCAACAAGAAGATACAACAATTGTAAATATTTATGCACCCAATATGGGAGCTCCCAAACATATAAAGTAGTTAATAGCAAGTGTAAAGGAAATAACTGATAGTAATACAATAACAGTAAGGGACTTTAACACCCCACTTAGATCAATGGACAGATCATCCAAACAGAAAATCAAGAAAACAATGGCTTTGAATGACACATTGGATTCAATGGATCTAACAGATATATTCAGAACATTCTATCCTAAAACGGAAGAATACACATTCTTTTCCAGTGCACACGAAACATTCTCCAGAACAAATCATATATCAGGCCACAAAACAAGCCTCCACAAATTCAAAAAAACCAAAGTCATACCATGCATTTTTTCTGACCACAATGCTATGAAAGTAGAAATTATAAAAACTGGAAGGAACATGGGTGGGGGGATGGGTTAGCCTGGTGATGGGTATTAAATAGGGCATGTATTGCATGGAGCACTGGGTGTTATACACAAACAATGAATCATGGAACACTACAT